AAGAGAGAAGACGGAGTAAAAGAGTAGAAACGGTGGAGTATTGGTGGTGGTAGTAGTAGTAGTAGTAGAGTAGTAGTATTAGTAGTAGTAGTGGTAGTAAGAACGATGGTGGGGGCCTTCATTCAGTCGACTCAGTCCAATCAAAGCGCATGCGCGCGGCGTAACGCGTACACACGCTACTCACGCTACCCCCTCTCTTTCTCTCTCCCACCCTACGGGCATTTTCTTCTTCCTTCTCACTCGCTCTCTCTCTCTCTCTCTCACTTTTTATCTATCTATCTATTTTTTTATGTTATTCTATTTTTCATTTTCATTCTTATTGGTGCACATAAATTCGATCAAATGTAGAAAATGAAAATGTGTCTAAAATATACCTGAAATGTTCGTATTTTTATTTTTTCGTTCATTTCAATAAGCATGCGAGAGAGAGAGAGAGAAAGAGTGAATAAAAAGATTGTAAAGGCGACGACCACACGCCGACATTCGTGCTTTCCAACGCGTCAAAGTGCGTGTTAAAGCAACAACAGACATCAGCATCAGAGCAAGCGCAACACACAGCCCGGGTCTGTGATCCTCTTTCTTCTTCATCGTCTTTTTTCCATACGACGGCATCTCTTCGTCTACGTCTTTATTTTTCATCTTGTTCACTCTCTTTCTCTCTCTCTCTCTCTCTCTCTCTCTCTGGCTTTGCCTGAAGCCGCCTTTGTTCTCTCGTATTTTTCGATTAAACAGAAAAAGAAAGAGAAGGATATAACTGGTGCGAGAAAGAGATGATGATGCGTTGTGTTGTATCCCGCATGAAACACCACAACGATAGATACGGGGGATAGCGAGGGAGTGAAAGAAAGAAAAAGAAAGGAAAGGAAAGGGAAGGGAAGGGATGGGATGGGAGGGATGACGTAGAGCATTCCAAATAATTAGGACGATAAATCCGGCCGAAACCGGCGAGAGAGAAGACGCGTTCGCTTGCACTTATACGATTCATTCCTTGGTAAAAGTCGATGCTCGTGAAAGCATCTTTTGCTGCTGTTGCTGTTTCTGTTGCTGTTGGTGCGCAATGCTTTTTCACTGGGACGACGCGTGCGATGGATCTTTCTTTCTCTCTTCTTCGAAAGAAAATAAAGAAAAGAGTAAGGGAAAAGAGCATCATCATAGCAAGTCCAAGACAAGTTGGTTGTGTCGTAAAGCGTGCGGCAGAATGCACTCTGACACACAGGCTCACTCGTTCCTCTTACTTGCTACATAGGTCTATAGAAAACACGTATGAGAGAGAAAGAGAGAGACAGAGAGAGAGAGAGAGAGAACATATACACACACATACATATACATACACACTTGGTTGTTCGATCTCGCAGTGGCTGACTGCTCGGTGCAGCGCGCGCTGCATTCCCTCGCGGTGCATTGACTTTGCTTCCCCTCCTACTCCCTGACCGTCGACCCCCGTTCCTTACCCCTTTCCCTCCCCTTCCTGCACCACTGCCGCCGCCGCCCCAACCGTCTCCCGGCACAACAACAACATTCCTTCTCTCTAGAGTCCCTTCATGGCACAGAGACCTCGCTACTACCATCAGACTCTCTCTCTCTCTCTCTTTCTCTCTCTTTTTGCCCTTTCTCTTTCTCTACTTCTTCTTCTTCTTCTTCTTCTTCTTCTTCTTCTTCTTCTTCTTCTTCTTCCTATCTTCTTGGAGTCTCGAAGGAGTTGAACCGCGTTATATGCCCGTTTCACAAGAAAACCGCGGAATACGCGCATGCCATAGTCGTCCTTATGGTCATCGGTTTCAGAACTTTACCTTCACGCCAAACTTTTCTACAGTTTCATTCTTTTTATTGTTCATATAGTTTTTTGAATTTTCATTCTGAAGATAGATAACAATAAGAAGTTATCTTTTCTAGGATAGATAAACTGTGAACTGAACATATATTTTACTGTCTTTTTTTTTTGTCCCTGACGTTTACACAATAAAAATGTATTATGGTTTTGGGTATAGAAATTAGTTTATTAAACGTAGCGGTATCGTAATAAACTTCCGGACAAACTTGGAAACCGTGTAAAACTTTTTCGTTATTGAGAAAGTGTGTAAAGTCGACGTAATAACGAGTTACACGGTCTTTAACTTATAATCTCGTTGTCTTCGCCGCAGAAAACGAGCACCTTAATCACGAATACCACAACCAACCACCACTACCACTACCATCACCTTGTGATAATTTTCCTCTAATCATCTTCTTCATCTTTATTTTTCTTTTATTCTCTCTCTCTCTCTCTCTCTCTCTCTCTCTCTCTCTCTCATCTATTCTACTTCATCCGTGTTCTAAATATTACAAGAGGGTCTTGGTTACTACGAAACGGAACATTCACTAATTACAGTTCTTAATCAAAGGTGTGGATAATTTGTACGTTGTTAACAGTCATTAAAGAATGAAGTTTGGCGTGCAGAGGCGCCGTAACTTAATTGAATGACAAATCGTCTTACTAAATCGTTTTTTTTTTATTATTATTATTATTTTACTTTTGTATCATCAAATTATATATCAACGCATAAAATTTCACTTAAGGTGTTTAATTACTTTCTATAAAAAAGATTAAATGCAACTTTGATTTTTATTCTACTACATTATGCAACATTGTAATCGTTTGAAATCATTTAACTAAACGTTTTTTTTTTTTTAATCATAGGACAAATATTATTGTTCAAAATGTTCTACAATTTTGAACAATTGTTTATTGTTTCCCTATCTGCAACCCCCTCTTACTCGTTTTTCATTTCTATTCGCGTTTATTATTCTTAATAAATCCTCAAACAACAATTATATTTTGTAATTCATTATTCGAATGAAATGAAAAGGGTGTGATGAACAAAACAAAAAAAAATTGTTAGAAAGGAATATATAAGATGTAAATAGAAAAAAAAAATAGCGTGTGAAAAATCCCTTACGGTGTGTATAATATGACCGCGAATTTTGTTAGAGAAGTTAGGGGGGGAGGGTTCCTTCTTTCAATCGGTCTTCTTTTTTCCCCTTCGTACATAGACGACGACCCATCGTTGTTGAAGATGGAGGAAAGAAGGGCAAGGTTTTCTACCTTTTGAGGTCATGGGAACACAACGTATGTGTCGCGTCTTGTCTGCTAGAATTCCATCATTTGAAGAATATAAATTTAACAAATCGATATGATGCAATATATCTTGCACAATTGCATTTTAACCTACCAATAACATGTTTGTTTCTGCAACTAGTGGGAAGAACATGAAAATGGGGGAATTTCTATCTTGAGAAAACTTGATTAAACTCTGAGTATGAAATTTCGCGTAGATTGAAGGAAGGGAAGGATGGAAGGAAGGAAGGAAGCCGCACGAGATGCGCTTCTCATATCTTCTACCACTTACGCAAGTACGTGAAATAGCTTTGATGCGGAAGTCCTTGTCCTATGTGTTATATAGGCTAAGTGTACATACGAAATTGTTAAACATGCGTACTAATAGTTCGTAAGTGGGAAAAGCCCTTATAATTAAATATCCAAATGCCTAGAATATTATATTACAAATTTAGAAAAAAAAAACAAATATGATATATAAATGAAAAATGAATACATTTTTATTATTACATATTATTACAATATAATACATAATTATATTAAAGTATATTAAAGAATACATATTATTATTATTATTAAAGAAAAAGTTGTTAAAAGAAGAACTCGATCAATCAAGTAAATCCCCAAGAGTGTTATCGATCGTAATAAAAAAAAAAAAAAGTAGCAAGTTGGAAATCGTATCGTAGGTGGGCTTTTTTTTTATTTGAACTTTTGGTAATAGTTAATTCGTGTTGGAAGAGTGTCGCAAAGGGAGAGAAGTATTATAGTAGGTAGGGACTTTAGGTTCGTTAGCGCTTTGGGATAGAAAGGAAGAAAACTCGTAGAAGAAGACGAAGACGAAGAGACAAGGAAGAAGAAGAAGAAGAAGAAGACGGTGGTCGGCCGGTGGCGGCCATGTTTTCGCCGGCACGGTAGGCGTTCACGGGCGGTACCGAGACTCGGTTCGTTCTCCAAACTCGTTGGAGAACGCTTTCCCCCACCCTTAGGCATCCTCCGGGACTCTGGTAGGGCAGTCTACCCCCCACCACTTGCCTCGAGTTCTACGTCGTCTGCTTTTATCCCCTCTCCTTCTCCCTTTTCTACCTTACACCAACTCTCTCTCCTTCGGCTACGCTCGGCCTATTTCGGTTATCCTCGTGCCTGACAGGAGAGAGAAAAAAGAAGAGCTTTGCGCCTAGTACATATTACCGCCAAGCGGTCTTGGGGGAAGTCATTTTGAAGTTTAAGGAGGGCTGGAAGAGAGGAGGAGTAGGCCGTGATCGAACCGCATGTATTTTCTTCTTCTTTTTTTCAACTTCTTCTTCTTCTTCTTCTACTTCTTCTTCTACCCCATCTCCTTTCTCTTTTCGAGTTTGCCGCTTCCATGGCTGCTGCCTTCTGATTTGCTCTTGCTGCTTGCTAACTTGCTTGCTGTTCGTTCGATTCTTATTCCGTTTTCTGTTTTATTTTCTTTTCACCATTATCCACCAATGTCGTTCCATTTTTGAGGATACATTTTTAAATTACTTTCCTGTCTTTCTCAAAAGCTAGAAAACCGATAGATGAGAAAAAGCGTATATATTGTAAAGGATGAAATCTCTCTCTCTCTCTCTCTCTCTCTCTCTCTCTCATTCTTTCTATCGATAAATTCACATTTTCTTGGCTCATTCTTTATTCATTGTGTCGTGTGCAAGAATGTTAGGTACGCTGGTGTTTAATATAAGAACGATTACACGTACACGTTGCGTGTCTTATAAATCAAATCACATAGACGACGCCATTTTACATTTGACTTTGACTTTTTATTGAACGTTCAATTGCGTTAAACTTATAATGTTTAAAATTATATTTATAATATTCTCTTGTTAGAAAATTTCGAAATATTGTGTCCTCTAACAATTCTCCATTTTGTTTCTTTTTGTTACAGACAGATGGTTGGCCGTATTTTGGTGGAAAGCTTTCGATCAGCTGTCAATACAGAAACCAAGCTCCCGGTTGAAGAGTACATGAAATGTGTTCATAAGATAAGCGACGATCCAGGTAAATGAATTTCATTTTAATACGCTTTTAATTTATCATTAACAAATTGTTTTTTCAATTATACTAAACTTGATTTAACTTTAAATAAAAGTGAGAAGGCGGGAAAGGGAAGGGAAGGGAAGGGAAGAAAAAAAAAGTGAAATGAAATTGAGGAATAGAAAAAAATAGTTACACGCTTTTAAATCACATTTTATAAAACTAAATGATTTTGATACGAAAACAATTGACGCGTATTGAGCTTTTTGATGTTGGCTGTAAAACAAAGCTTTGGCATGATTGGTTTTTTTTTCTTCTTCTTTTGTAGAATTGCAGAAGGATTGGACATGATTAATTCTGAGCCAAATCCTTCATAAAAAAAATTAAAAAATATTTCATTTGCTTTATATTTTCATGATTTTGTTAGAATTCGTTGTATCACTTTTTCAATTTCATCAATTTCAAAAATACTCTTTGATCTTTTGTTATAATTCAATTATATTTCAGGAATTATTGATTTTTCTGATAGACATAATTGATTTCAAAGAAAATGGAGGTAGGAAAAAAAGATTAAACTAACGGATGAAATGATGAGGGAGAAGAAGGGTGAGGGTTTGGAAAACGCGTTTGAGAAAAGACAGAAACTCCGTGTTGGGTTCTACGTTGAAAGGGTAAATGACGAAAAAGGGGGAAAAAAAAGATAGAAAAAGAAAAACGGAAAAGGGAAGAAGAGAGTGTGATGACGGATTAGTTCAGCTTCCGGTAAAGCTCGTGCCCTTCCGGAATTTCACAGAATGACCCTACCTATTTTCGATGTATCCCACCCACACACACACACGCGTTCTCATCTCTCTCCATTTGACTATTTCGTGTACGTTAAATTATTGGGTTTGCAAGAAAGAAATTTTCGTTTTCATAGGATGAAATAAAACTCAATTGTTTATTTTTACGTTTATTTAAACTTATTTAAAATTTTTTTAATTTATTTGTTATATATATATATATATATATATATATGTAATATTAACCTTTTAAGGAACAATTTTGGCTCAACGTAATACAACGCTGCTCGAATTAACTCAAACGTGCATCTTAAGGGGTTAATATTATTAATAATTTATAATAATTTAATAAATATATAATAATAATATATAAAATAAAAATATATTAATATAAAATTATTTTTAAATAACTTTTTAATATAAATTTATTATTAAATATAAATTATATTAATAAATAATTATATTAGTATTGATTATAATAAATATTATAATATATATTTATATTATATATTATATATAAATTATTTTTATATTTTATATAATATTTATATTATTATAATTAATAATAATTGTATTATATTATATATTAATAAATTATTGTTTAATATAAATTAATTATTAAATATAAATTATACTAATATATTATTAGTATAATTATGAATGAAATTATATAATTATATTAATATATAATTTTAATATATATATATTAAATTATTTAATTTTACAAAACTTGTTTCTATAGCAACCTAAAAGGTGCCAACTACCAAACCTCAAAAAAACAAAATTCTAACATTAACAAAAAAAATAACGAAACAAACGTAACGCTATCTATTGTTACAAACCGAAATTACTTTCTTGTGTTGCCAACTCAATATTTCTTTGAAAATTATATATTTTTGTCTTAATTAATTTTTCAAAAATTACAAATTCCATTTATATCGAATTATTTTCTAAAACCTAATCGAAAAACTGTTCAATCATTATGAAGGTTACTTTTCGTGGTTGTATAAAGAGTAAACAAATAATCATGATCGTTAAACGTTCTTTTTTCGTAAATTCTGTATAAAAACTGTTTAGAAAACACGAGATTAGATTTAGTCTTGGTTTTAGAGAGAGTACATTTGAACGTTCAACATTTTATTTTTGAACGGACAAAATTCAGACTTCTTTCTTAAAAGGTAAAGTAATAAAAAAAAAAAAAAAGTTTGAAATACATTTAATGAAAATTAGAAAAAAAAAAAAAAAGAAAAAAAGAAAAAGAAAGTTGAACACCACTGTTTACGTAGAAAAGTATCGTTTGTTCAGGAAGAAATAAATTTGATTTTGGTGAAAATGCAGGCAACACACACCCGTTGACAAACTGTGCATATCCTGGGTGCAATAGGGGGTCGTCCCGTCCTCCCTGGTGTGGTATTTCGACCCTTCGTATTCTTCTTTTCTTTTTCTATTTTTAGAAACGATCTATGAAACATCTTGCACACACACACATCGCTATTTTTCCACATATATGGAAAAGAGAGGGGGAAAATAGAAAGATCTTGATTTCCGTGTCCAGGATTTACGAAATTGGACACGAAACATACATTTTTATTTTCTTATTTTACATTCTTAGATATAAATTTAACGTGTATTTTCGAAATTTCGAAAAGATCTTTCCTCTGTTGTTTTCCTTTTTTTTCTTCTTTTTTTTTTTTCTTTGTACTTATTATTGTTACAACGAATGGTGGTTTATAACGTTCTCATTTGATTTGAACTGTTTCTAAAGGACTTAGAAATAAATAAACACTTAGAAACGTTCGAGAATTTAGTAAATATGTTTCTCTGCTGTTGTTGAAACTTATTTAGAAAAAAATCATAAACTTTTATATTAACCAAGTGAAATAATTTGAAAAGCGAACGTTTAATTTGAAGAAAACAAAGGAAGGAAGGAAAGGAAAGGAAAGGAAAGGAACGTTTGCAGATGACAAAAGGTTCAAAATTATTCTTAGTCAGTTAAATTAAATTTGCCAGTTACTTTCAGTTCGTCTTTCCGTGTAAACCTATCCGGTCACAAAACGTGTTTTTCAATATATTTTATTAAATTATTAAGATTAATTAGTAGTAAATAATGATTTCGTGTACGTTTCATTATTTAAATAATATTACATATATATTTTTAAACGAAATAATAAAGAAACTCATCATCGATATTTCTTTCATCGATTATTCCTGAATATTTGACGAAGAAAATATCAAGGATAATGAAGGTACAAGTAAGGACAAAAATATATATATATGTATATATCTAGAAAATAAAGAAAATAAAAAGATAAATAAAGTTTCTCGCGTATTTTCTATTTTAAGAATATATTTTTTTTTTCTTATTAAATTTTAAAGAAATTCGTTAATATATTTTTTTTCGTTAGGACGAATAGAATCCTTTGAAATGATTAAAGAAAAAGAAAAAAGAATATAAAATCTTAAACATCATTGAACATATAGAAAATTTCTGAGAGAGAAGAAGAAAAAAAATTTCGGTTGGGAAGAAAAGATTTTGTGGGGGGGACTTTTGTAAAACGTGTTGAGAAGAATCTATGGGATTTGGTTTTGATTTTGGTGGTGGTTCTTCTTTAGTATTTTGCAAACAATAATATAGATTCTAGAATGTTATAGACCTTTCTCGAATTTTCGAGAAAAAGAATATGTTCCGCATACCTACGTGGACCTTTTTCCAACGGTCAAATCCATTTCAAATCATCAGTCGACTCTACCACCCCCTTTTCCGTTCTTTCCCCCACTTAACACAATATGAGGCCCTCGAGTCTCTAGGGTCCATAGCTGGGTAGTGGCTTTACCCCCACCATTTCTACGACTTTTTCGAGGGTTGGGGTATATTTTCCATCAGAAGTGAATTTTTCGATCAGTTGCTCCTACGCTCCCCTGACCAGAAGATTCTTCTCTCTTTCCTCATCCTCAGTTCCTCACTTCCTCTTCTTCTTCTTCTTCAACATTTTCTTTCTTTGGGGTTTGAAGAAGATCACATTGTCCGCCATTTTGTTGCTGAGTTAATTTCAATATTATTCCATACATTTTTCACAAATTATATTATTATATATTTAACAATATAATAATAATGGCTTTCTTAATTAAACTGAACAATAATTATTTCAAAGATGAAATAATTTCGGTATTGAAGAATTATCTTAAGATAATATCATCATCTTCACAAATTGTATCCCACGTGCAAATAATTTTCACAACTAATTGGTGGTACGTAATTTATTTCAATACAATTTTATACAATTTTTATTATTTATTCTATCGTTTCAATTTATCGAATAAATCGTGGTGGTATTCACGTGTATCTTAAAATCAAAAATATCCTTTGTAAAAGAAGATTTCATAAGCCACGTGGTCAACGTTGAACAAAATTACAGAAGAAGAAGAAGATGAAGAATTCTTTTATCCTATTTTTCAATCCTATCATAAAAAAAACCCCCTCGTTTATAAATTTGCTAGAAAAAATGTGAGTTTTTCTAAAAAAAAAAAAAGAAGGCGCCATTTTTACGGATTCACGTTCAGTTTCCGCCATTGAGGTATTTCTTCATGGATTCCCTGGAAATCTTCTAAGGTTTGATAAAATTATTCGAGATAAATCCTCCATTTTATTTTCATTTATTTTATTATCTCATTGTTTGTTTCTTTATTTTATTATAACAATTTTTATTATTTTAATTTCAATTATTTCTAATTTGTATCACCACCACGTGTTTGTGAACTTTTGTAAATCTTAAAAAAAAAAAATTAGATAAAATGAGAATGGATACTTCGTTCTTCCTAATTTCCATTTCGCGTTTCATTTTTATTTTAGTCTAATTCGATACTCAAGTCCCCCCTCCCCTCCACTCCCCTCCCCCATCTTACCGTTCGTTTCTTATCACATCAATAATTCAAATCATCATTTGTATGGATAAAAGTAACGATGTTGAGTTTCGATAACATTTATTTCGTCTAATCACACGAAAAATTTAGTAATTTGGGGGTCGGTCTCGTTTGTTTAACGTGGTAATCAAAACTCACCCTTGAATATTACTTTTCTTTCATCTAAATGAAATATAATGTATTGTTCTATTTCTAGATAGTAATATTAAATCTTCATTAAATTACAAATAGTAATAATAATCTAATAATGTATTATTTTTCAGAAATTGCAATTCGTTTAGATTTGGTGGATCAATTGCCATACGCTGCCATGATCGTTCGTGAAGCTCCACATTTATTTGGTGATGTTCTTCACAATGGAATCCTTAGTATTATCAAAAAATTTCTACTCGATGTCGACAGTCAAGTAAGTTTTATTATTTCATTGTTTTTTTTTTCTTTCTTTCTTTCTTTAAGTCTTTTAAGTTAACTAATTGTTTTTTTTTATTTTTTTTTTTTTTATTCACTTTACAGGTACGACAATCTGCCCAAGAAGCTTTGTTAGTTTTGATCAAACATGGAATGTTAGAAACGAAGATTATCGAGAATGAAATCTGTCCGATAGTTGAAGAATTATCCCGAATGACTGTCGAATACTTGAATTCCGGCATTTCTGTAAGTTTAACATTTAATTGTCATTATTTCATTTTTCTTCATCAATCGTGTTCCATCCCATTCATTTGAGTTTTACGTTTTATTTGAATTGATTGATTTTTTTTTCTTTTTTTTTTTTTGTTACCAAACACGAACACTTGAGAATGAGAAGAATGATACAAACGAATGATTTAATAGTGATTTTTCTTTATTATAGTCTTCTCCTTCTCAGGTAACTCGTCGTCTTGCGAGTAAATTCTTTTAACATTAGCATTGGATGATATATCCAAGTATGTAACCTACCACCACATAAATATCTCATCGACGGATTCCGCCTGAAAGACATGGGTAGTGAGATGTTCTCACGCAATCGCGTCTCACTACCTTGTCTTTCATGTGGCGTTCGTTGAACCCCTTCAACAACAACAACAACCAACCAACCAACCAACCAACCAACCAACCTCTCGTCTAACACGAGAATCGGAAATGTTGTACCCTACATTATATTTTCTTTTTCTTAACCCCTTACCCTATCCCTTCCAACCAACCCCCAGTCACCCCACTCATCTCATCTCATCTCATCTTCATTAGAATAATTTAGTCTTGTTTTATATTTGCAAGTAAGTTTGTTTCGTGTGAAAATGTTTCTTAAATTGTTAACGATATTTCAAGAAGATGATCAAAACGAAGAAGAAGAAGAAGGAAATGATAAAGAAGAGTTGATAGAATTGATAGAAAAATAAAAATACGATCGTAAGGGCATGCTTTTACCATCAAAGCTGGTTTGTCATAGAGATCAACTATCACAGCCAGCTTTGATGAGCAAAATTGTGTCCGTCCTCAACGATAAGTTAGAGGCAAACGAGCAAGAAAGAGATTAATTGACTGAGATAAACAAAATGTGATGTTAAACAAGAATTATCACTCTAACAAGAATTATATATGCATATATGTATGTGTGTGTGTAAAACTTTTTATAAAGAAAATCTCAAGAAAGAAAAATTGGGAAGAGGAACAACCAAGAAGTGGTGGCAAATAAAAATGATTAAAAATACTTAAAAAAAAAAAAAAAAATAAAAACGAAAAGAGTTTCATTAAATGTTTGCGGTCCGATAAATCAAATTGGCTGTGGAATGTTGCGAATCATATCACAGCCATTTTGATGACCTTGGCCCGCAAAACCGATCGTCAGGAAGGATCTTTTTTTTTTTTATCGAAGAAGAAGAAGAAGAAGAAGAAAACAAAGGAGAAACACGATCCAATCGTCAAATTGGCTGTGACGTGTAACTTTTTCTTTTGATTTCATATCACAGCCATTTTTGATGTTTGGATCGGGGTTTTTTTCACATCGTTGGATCATCCTACGCATTCTCCAATTCAAAGGAATAGAGAAAGATAGAAATAAAAAAGCTAGAAAGCTTAATCTACTACGAAGTTAAACTAATCAAATATTTTTTCTAGCAATTGCAATTCTCAAGGGGTGTAAAACAAAACAAAACAAAAAAACAGAAGTTTTCGTATTCGCGTCTCTCACAAAGTGGTTGTGTCGTATGCTAATGTAACTATTCATATCACAGCCAGCTTTGATGAGGGTTGCGTCACGAATTTGTCATCGAACAATTCAACATTTGATGTTAAGAAAGATCATCATCACATTGAAATGATTTATCACATTGTTATTTTTGTTGTTAATTGTATAATATATTTTTGTTAATATGATCGACTGTTCCCTCCCATCAGAGTGGTTGTGATGTGGATTCTAATTTATTCGACATATCACAGCCAGCTTTGATGAGCGGGACGGAACGATATGAATCTTCAAGAAGACAGAGTTGTTGTTATATTGTATCATGTGATTATAGTATTTATTTTGTATTATTATTATTATTATTATTATTATTATTATTATTATTATTATTATTATTATTCAAGTGTGTATTGAAATGTGTTAATTATAAAATAGACAATTTATAAAATTTATTTTCCATAATACAAGTCAAATTGTATTCCCAAGTTAGCAATGGTTTATTTTCCTGAAGTTTATCATTCCCCCTTATATTGCATTTTATGTCGGCCCACAGCTCATGAGTAAAATGGCACTGCTTATTGGTAAAGAGCTCACAGAAAAGGTCTTCTTGGATAGATACATCGCTCTTTGCGAAGATAATATATTTCACGTTAGAAGAATGTGCGTTTTACATTTTGGAGAAATGTGTACAGCGGTTGGAAAGAAAGCTCTACTTCAAAAATTGGTAAGTTTACAATATATAGATAGAATTAAATGTTAATTACGGAATGATTTTTGTGTTATCTCAATGATTATTTTCAGTTTCCAGTATTTGTCCAATTGTGCCTGGACAGGGTTTGGGGTGTTAGAAAAGCTTGCGTCGACGTAATGATGCCAGTTTCCTGTTGCGTATCTTTTCCTTATCGTCAAATATTATTGGCAGATATTTTAGCAACGCATTTAAACGACGATTCTAAATGGGTACGAACCAGTGCCTTTCAAATTCTTGGCCCTTTCATATCAACTTTTGCTAAACAATTCACCAATGTTACTTACAATCAAGATGGCGAATTGGTATTCACCAGTCAACAACAACAACAACAACAACAACAGGATGACAATTTCAAGTAAATTTTTTTTTTTTTTTTATTAATACAAAATATTTGATATCATTGTATTTAATATTTGAATTCAAAAGTAATATAATATAATTAATGATTACAGTGCCGATAAAAATAACAGTGGTACCGAACGGGATCTTACGTCTAGCATACGATATTCATATGAAGGAATGTTTCCAACCAAATGTGCGATACGCAATCAAACTTTCGATTCGGAAGATTACGACATTAGAGATGTATTAGATATTAATTGTTTGAAGGAAGTTTATGAGCAAAGTCAAAAAAATTCTATGTTTAATTATCCTATCAAAGCACACAAGGTGAAGGTATGTACGCGATTTATTCAAAAATTACATTGCATTCAATTCAATTATTTATATTGACATTTCATGTTTTTATAGACGCAAAAGAAACAAATGACAGAAAATGAACAAAGTGAAGCAGACGAAGTAGACAAATTCAATACGTTTCTTTATTATTATATACCACCAGAAATACCTCTCGATGATCCCCTAGTCCTAGCCGCTAAAAAGTCTTCAGAAAATAGTAAAGCGGCTAATAATAATAATAATAATACAAATGTAGAAAATAAAAAGGATGATAATAATACTGCCGATGCAACGAATAGTTCAACGATAGACACAAGAAAAGAGGAATGTTCGGATAAATGTAGTAGCATTGTCGGTAATCGAACATCTAATCAGACAAATAAGGAAGAAGATGATGAAAAGGATGATGAAAATGATAATAGTCGTCCTACTACATGGTCAGATGATAGTGCCGATACCATAGATATATCAAATTTATCACTAGACAGGAGTAACGTAAATGGTCCTGCATTTGACAACAAGAGTTATGTGAATTTCATGCTTCGCAGGAAATACGCATCTAAAAAGAATCAAAATATCGTACCTCAAGATCTAGTTGATTATTTTGTATCAATGGCTGAGCCCGAATTATGCGAAGAAGGAGAAATTCCGTATCACTGTGCCTTCAGTTTTCCTGCGGTTGCGTTCACATTAGGTAAAGCTAATTGGCCTTATTTGAGAAAAGCGTATCAATCGTTGGCAGGTGCAAAACAATGGAAAGTTAGACGTACATTAGCATCTAGCATTCATGAAATAGCCATAATACTAGGCGAAGAAATTACTGCCAGTGATCTCGTGCCTATTTACGACGGCTTTATTAAGGATCTTGATGAAGTTAGAATCGGTGTTTTAAAGCATTTAGCTACATTTCTTAAAATTCTTAAGCCTACCTATCGTTGGCACTACTTACCGGGGTTACATAATTTTCTTGTCACCGATAACGAATGGAATTGGAGGTTTAGAAAGGAATTTGCCACTCAACTTCTCGAAGTGGTTACACTTTTCAATGCTAACGACGTAGCTAAACACATCGCACCATTGTCTCTTAAATTACTCGTCGATAAAGTTGCTGCAGTTAGACAAATTGCGCTTACACTGGTAACAACGAAATATTATATATAGTCTTTATCGATATTACAGATTTATCTTATTACATTGTTAATTTAATGTTATTTTATTTAGGTAACTCGAATAGTCTCTCATCTTTCTACCGATGAACCTCTTGCCATGGCACTTATACAAGAACTCAAAGAAACACTTGCGATGAATACAAATAAATGGGTTCTCAGACAAACCTATGCACTTCTTTGTGCTCAATTAATTGTCGGCGGTGCTATTAGTGGAGAAAAATTCACCAAGGAAATGTTACCAAGTCTTTTAAATTTATCTTACGATAACGTTCCGAATGTAAGACTGGCCGTAGCTAGGACATTATCACAAAATGTTATTACTATGGGTAGTAAGTATATTAACAATCTATCCACACAATAATATTATCAAATTATTTCTCATTATTTTCATTGGTTTCTTCTTCTCATTTTGATTTTATAGTAGACTGGTTAGGTTCCGAATATGTAACCGTAGAAGGAAGACTTCAAAGAATGCGATCAGATATCGATCGAGATGTCAGATTCTTAGCGGAAATAGAAGAACATCATCTCGTCGTACCGGATGTACAAATGGAACAAGCTAGAAATATAGTATTTTAATATTTTGTCGGTCTCTGTCGATCTCTGTCGATAAATATTTTCTTCATGACTTATATTATCGAGGGTAAAGAACAAGAAAAACTGTTATATACCATACTCTGTTGATTATACGTGCCCATTGGTTCTTCCCATGCAAAATATCTTTCGATCAAAAGATATTAGAAGAACTTTTTGATTAAATTCAAGATAAACTGATTGAATCATACTACTACTACTACTACTACGAAGAAGAAGAAGAAGAAGAAGAAGAAGAAGAACATAAAATGGGGGGAAAAAGACATGCGGTCCCGTTTTCCGCAATTTCATTTGCATCGCCACTGAGAAATCAAGGGAAAAAAAAATAAACGTATGAATGATATAAAAAAAAAGTATGTAAATGTGTGTGGAGCGCGTGAGAATGTATGCGCTTAACATTGTGATCATTACTTTGTTTGTTTTTGTTTTTTTTTTTTTTAATGTATAAGAATGGCTCCTCAGACAAGACAGATATTAACTAGTTGAAAGAGATGCATTAAGACGTTTTATAGTTTTGCTAAAAAAAAAAAAAATATATTATATATTTATACCTTTGGGTTGTGCGTACCATTGGTAGAACTGCAAATGAGACAACACACTTATTGAATTATATTTTATTTCATGTTAATCTCTTTTCTTTTTTATTTTTTATTATTATTTTAATTTTAATTGATCGCTTCGAAGAAATGTGTTTTGAAAAATATATTTCTTTCCCTTTGAGAGAAAAAATTAGAAAATAATAGTAAAAAAAAATCACTAACGCGAATAATATATTTATATCTCTCAAATCAATTTCCAAATTTTACACGTCATCGAAATAAAACACGCCTACTTGTTTTAATAAAAAAAAAAAAAAAAAAAAAAAAATCGCGTCGTGGACGATAAATCTTTTTAATCGTACAATGTTCTAAATAAAATAATAATCGTGTGATTTTATCATCAAGATATGCACTACAATGTACGAGCGAACAATTCAGTAACAAACTAATCGTTGCTGCGTGATATTTCACACACACACATATATATATATATATATATATATATATATATATATATATTACGAGCTTATTATCGAGCTGCCGAGAGAGATTAGGAAAGTGTCCACATATGTTGGACGATTAAACCATTGTTGGATAGTGTATAAATAGTGTACGATAGGAATATTTTAAGAAAAAAGCACGAAGAAGAAGAAGAAGAAGTCAGTGAACAGTCGACATAACAAAATGAAATACTGAAATTTTTCATTTCAAACAAAAATTGTATAGTTTGCGTTTTCAAATATGAAAAAAGTCGATATTACAAGATTTCAATCGAACTTGCAATGCCCAAAAAAAAAAAAAAGTAAAAATTATTTTACATTGTACTACCGAAGAAAATTGAACGATCATGTCTCTTTTATCAGCTCTAAAAAAAAAAAAAAAAAAAAAACAAGCAAACAAACAAACAAACAAATGAGCTATCGATAAAGCTACAGTAATTATTATTATTATTATTATTATTATTATTATTATTATTATTATTATTATCATCCTGTATGCAACGAAGAATTACAGTCGTTAATTGTGAATATATTTGTGAGAAAAGGAGATGATGGTGGTATTGTTTAAAATATTCTGTATAATATATTGTGTGTATTTCATAATAAGAAAAAGGAAATATATACTTGAAGCGATTTGTTACACAATCCATGAGAAGACAATATAACTACCCTCCTTTGATGTGTTAATATAATTTTTCATTTGTTTACTCTCCTTATAAGTATAATAATAAAATACAAGTTATACATTTGTGTTTGGCAGTATGCTTATAAAATGACTCTTAATGATACAATTGACTACTCGTAGATTAAAAAAAAAAAAAATATAAAAATAAAAAAAGGACAATCGTAAGAGACAAAGTTTAAAATATTCCAAGAAATTTTCCAGGTGGACAAGCTGTCATTTGGCATGCCTTTTCTTCCATTTCAGTTTCCACTGTACTACAATCTCTTAAACAATGTCTCCATCTGATTTGTCGACCTTTACCGCAGGTGACACTGCAGCTGCTCCAACCCGTCCATCTGCCCCATTTACGACGTGATTTTCTTTTAATTCGATTCTTTCCAACAATCCTCTTTGCCAATGGAATCATTCTATCGTTTAACAAAGTTATTCTTTCGGTTTCTGATTGTTCCTTTAACGTAGTTTTATCGAGACTTGAATTTTTATCATCTAGTGATTTCAATGCTGAACTTAAATCACCTATGCGTACACATTCGTCAATGAATTTTGGTGTTTCCAACACAAATTCTTCCTCAATAATTGTGTTGTTGTTGTTGTTGTTGTTGTTGTTATCTCGAGGAACTTCAATCTCGCGTGATTCTAATTTCTTATTCTTTTTTATTATTTCTTCGTTCTCATAGCTCAAATAATTTTGTAACTCGTTCACCTTCGAAAAAACTTCGATAACGTTAATTTGACCAATCTCAATTACGTATCTAAATTAAAGAACTTAACTTACTTTGGTAACTAATTTCTCAGCGAGTTCTTTAATCTCTTCAATGGATTTTACTGCTCTATCGGCACGCGGTTTTTCATTTTGATTATTTTCCGATAACATTGACAATGATGACGATGTTTCAATAATGTTAGGATAATTTGGTATAATGTAATCTTTCATTTCGTTTCTTTTTAATCGAAATTTGCCATTTTTTGATATCCCTCTTTTTCTAAATACAATGTCGTATTTTTTATGTAAACTTCTTTTATCTCTTACAGTATCGTTCACAGTTTTCAAGTTCGCATCTTCATTTTCATTTATCAATGTTTCTTCTTGTTCAGCTAATTGTTGTTCGTTGTCATCTTTTTTACAAGATATATTATCCTTAGTAGAATCTTTCTTTTCTATTTTAGATTCAATCTTGTCGACAATCTTAGATGAATTATTTTCAATCATATGATTTGTTCTTTTACTTTTAGAAGGTGACATAATTTTTAATGAATTAGGATGACGTTTGTTAGTCCCTTTAAAAGAAATACCTTTTTTTTTACCCTTCTCACCTGAATGTTTCTTCATTTTTCTTCTCTTTCCATGTCCAACTCTTCGTCTACCATTTTTCTTAGATTTGTTCTCTCTTTTAAATCTTGTGTTATTTACTTCAACAAAGTATCCAACTTTATCTTCGTCATCATCGTGAATATTAACAAATGTTTCGTTAGAGTTAGAAGATACGTTTTGATAATTAGAATTATTATAATATTTATTAAAATTGTTTAAAGATTTTCCTGGAAAAGAATTTGCTAAATCTTCCAAGTAATTATTTTTCAAATGTATCAATGAGTTATGGCGATTATCAAATTCTGAATCAGTTCTTTTTACTCTAATATGGGTGTCATTTGACAATTCGTTTAAATCAAAACGTTTATTAATGTCATCAGAAAGCATAGGTTTTTCAAGATCTATTAATGTCTTTTTTTTAACAATTTGTTTCATATCAAACAAAGAAGTCGTCGCAGTCGCCATATTTCTTTCATTTACGTTTAAGGATTTTTTATTTGTAGAATTGAATGTTAAATCTTGATGATTTTCTTTAGAAATAATATACTGTTGCTGTTGATAATTATTCGATACACTGAAGGATCTTTTGTGACGTCTTTTACTTTCTATTATCGTAAGTATAGAAAGTATGATCAACGGAATCCAAATCCATTTGAAACAACGCCGTTTCACCATAACACAATAGCCTAATTAGCATCAATTTCTACAACATTTTTAGATCCAAATTTAATTTAAATTATTAGCGTATTATTTTTCACTATTTCTTTAAGAGACATTTATAAATTGTCTCATGATATATAATAAAAGTGACAATCTTAATCGATTATGGAAATCGATATCTCATTACAATGTGAATATAGAAAAATTTATATGACATATGAATTTAAATTTAGCGCGCAAAATTAGCCAATTGTAATAATTCTTTCTTTACTTTATATAAACACTTTTCGTGATGGTATAAAATAAATTACAATCTATTCATTTATACAAATTGATACGATACGAACTGATTAATTAGATTTACACGTAAATATAATATTTGTCAAACGTATAAATATATTATTCATCAAATGACAAATCATATTCACCATATGAATTTAAATTTAGCGCGGAAAATCAGTCAATTGTAGTGTGCTATACTAGCGCTTTCGTTACCACGTGACCAGTGTCTGCTTCCTGTCGGCTCGATTACCAATTGGCATTCAAAACACTTTAACCGATTATAACATTTTCCAATATCTCCATTCGAATTGTTTTATAAAATAAGGAATGTGGACTTTGAACTTCTCGGTAAGTTATTTTATTTATGTGATAATTATTAATCAAGATGACGATTATGAAAAATTCAAGAAATCATCACGAGGTTGGAGGGGGAAATCATAACCTCACATACATGGAAACTGTATTGGAGAATATCAAAATGGCGTGTTACGGTACTTGAACGAGTAGTTAAATCGTATTTTGATGTAGTTAAATTCGTCGTATAAAATTTGTTAATATTGAAAATTATAATCTCTTTCTCGTCGTGGAGAAAAATAGTGTTAACAAAAAGATAAGAAATATTATGAAATTGCTATCGCGGATGTAATAATAGATAGTTCTTCCATATCTCGTATTGCAAGGTACAAAACTCGATAATGCAGGAAATCCTTCTGGCAGCATTCTCCATGATAACGAGTCTACTGATCGTATTTGGCCTCGTATTATTGGGTAAGAATAAATAAGCAAGAAACGCAAGGAGGAAAAATAATTTGTATAAACAAGCTGCTGTGTGATATTAATTTTATGATTATACGAATCTCTGAATTAAAAGAGACTAGGTATTTAACCTACACTATCATCACGTGTGTACTCACGAATAATAATGCATTGTTATTGTTTGGTTTTGATACATATGTCAGATAGTTTTATCATTTTTATTATATTGTAACTATTACATTTGTCATTTTTTGTAGGCTGGTACTTAGTTTGGAAGTTCTTCCTATCACGGTTCCGATTTGTACGTGAATTACTCGGTGGAATGAGCGAGTCTCCATCAGTTAATGATTTGAAGAGTGCTCGATCTCGTATAAAGAAAGTTCGTCGAGAATAAGTTCAACATTGTGCAATAGAAGAGGAATAAGAAGAAGAAAAATAAGAAGAAGAAGAAGAAGAAGAATTGATTTGTGACTTCATTAAATACAGAAGCAAGCTTTCAATCTAATTTGGAAATAATCACTTAAAAAAACACGTCAAAATGTCTATAAACATACGGTGTGCAAACACGGATGATCTATTGAATATACAACATTGTAATTTACAATGCTTACCAGAAAATTATCAAATGAAATATTATCTTTATCATGCATTATCTTGGCCACAATTGAGTTACGTAGCAGAGGATGAAAAAGGAAGAATAGTCGGATATGTTCTTGCCAAGATGGAAGAGGATTGTGAAGATAATCCACATGGACACATTACAAGTTTAGCTGTGAAACGATCTCACAGAAGGCTTGGTATTGCACAAAAACTTATGAATCAGGCTTCCAGAGCAATGGTTGAGTGCTTTGGTGCTAATTATGTATCCCTACATGTACGTAGAAGCAATCGTGCTGCTTTAAATCTTTACATAAGCAGTTTAAATTTTGAAATATCCGAAGTAGAACCAAAATATTATGCTGACGGTGAAGATGCTTATGCCATGAAACGTGATCTTAAATTTTTCCATTTAGAGAAAGAAAGTGAATTTAATGATACTTATATGGACATACATCCAGGTAGATGCTGCGATCATTCATAGTTGGATTGGAATATTTATACACGCTTGTATATAAATTGATCATTGAACATATTGCTGGTGTACTATTACATTTAACATCATGCCATAGTTTTTTGTGTTATTTTTGATCAAGAATCACACACACACACATGCACACACATACACATGAAATTAAAATGAAAATAATGTTGAATGATTTATTCTAATCGACTGAATGTTTCGCGTGCGTCATTGACAAAATTTAAAAACATAAAGAAAAAACAAAAATATGTAAAATGTCGTTGGAAATGTTTTATATATTATCATGAAGAATAATCTGTTAGTGATTTAAAAAAAAAAAGTGGTAATTGAAGAAGGAGTTATTCTCAAATTGATTCTACATTCTATGGTGCATACTTGATTGATATAGTTTGTAACAGAAAACAAAACAAAAAAAAAATATTGCCTCTGTAATTACATTTAAATACAATGTACTTGAAACATGTAATTTTGAATATGCAAATTATCTCAGGAAATATAAATTTTCTCTTTAAATGTTAGGCATTATTGTTTTCATCTTTTTTCTTTTGTTCTCTTTAACCAAAATTATATGAATTAAATTGAGAGAAGAATTTTTGAAATTATTTGAACTTTTTTGTTTGTTTTTGTTCTTTTTTTTTTTTTTTCTACAGGGATGAGAGAGAGAGGAAGAAACGTTAGGCATATGCGTACACCTGTAATATAATAAAAATTGATTATATGATTTTAATGATATTTTCAAATTTATTCATTCGTTCGAAATGAAATTCGTGGCAATTCGATAAATGCATCCTGTAAATACTTCTTTCGAGTACAATTTGACACTTAAAAATTACATCTGGCATTGCACGATTGTTGAATACGTTAAACTCCATTTGTTGTTTGCATTTGGCTATCATATTCTTGTATTTTATTTTGTGTATACATATTTCGCTTTTAATAGGATTAATTATATATATTTATATATATAATGTGTATAAATACGTCTGCTATTTACATTAAAACTATCTTAAAACAACGCGATTTTTTCGATTGATCCATTTTCGATAGACACATGCTGCCCGAAGAATAATTTAAAAAACGTTTCACGTATATAAAGTATTGTATGGGATCGTAAGTATCATCAGGAACAAAGTCATTGGTGTTCGTAACTATAGTTCATTTGACCTCTTAAGCACACAACAACATTTGAAAAAGAACGTTTGTTTGTCTCAACGTTAAACGCGCTTTTTTTTTTATCATCCTCCTCCTTCTCCTCTCCAACTTCACTTTAAACGCAATTATTTGTAAAATCTTCTGCTCGAACGATATTAAGATAAAAAAATAGGTACGCACGAGCAACACGATATTTGCGAACAAATTGATCCAGGTACAATGTACAAAAGGGAAATGAGAGAAGCGGATATGACATTTAAATGATATTGAGATAATTAAAACAGTAATATACGTGTGTACAATTCGATACAAAGAATATCAATCGATATATATATATATATATATTACTGCTTGTTGGGTGTCTTAAAAGACACCCAAAATGAATCGACATGTATGATGAGAGCACCTAATGGTTTAACCATTTATATTAACTTTGGGAAAAAGTTGAATGTAAAAATAATACATTTCTTTTTCCCAGACCTAATATAATATGTATTATATATATATATATAAATTCTAAATATACAAGAACGCTATATAGTTGCACAAATGCATTATTTTACAGAACACTGCCAATAAATTATAATACAACGGCTTGTCAGCGAGAGATCACATCCGTCTTACATTTTTCTTTTTTCATTTTCATTTGTTTTCTTTCTCTTTCGGTTATACAATCTCTAAAAAATAAAGTGCGATATAAACTATCACCACATTAACGCGTTACAACTTTTTTTATATTATTCTAATTAGCAATTAGCGTTTGCAAAATCTGTTGAGTCAGGTATTTTTGTTGTTTTTGTTTTGTGCTCAAACAAAAGGTGCGCACGCTGATTTTGCTCCGATATTATTTTTAATGGATATATTCATCCTAAACGATCGTATTAATCACAAAATTGCTGCCGAATTATACATATATATATATAAATACGGTTTCGTCGATATTTCAAGTCAAAATCCTTCGAATCACATTGTCGAAGGAAGATGGAACTTTTGCTGCATATTGTTATTTATTTATTATCCTTTTTTTTTTTTTTTTTGTTAAATCCTACCACTAATTATTACAATCAATTTCTATTGATCCGTGTGTCGTTTTATTAATAATAATAATTATTTAGAATTTTGGAACTTCGTTTATAGGCTGTAAAATGGAAGAGCTGTAGAAATATAAAAAAAAAAGACCGATACAAATTGGTCGAAAAATTCGACATCGTAAAAATTTCGTATAAAATTTGTTGATGTTGTTGTTTTTACGTAAAAATGTACCATCTATTAATTAAACTAATTATCAATAATCAATAGTTTCATGTGAATTTATTATTATTCTTATTACTATTAATATTATTATAACTCGTGTAAATTTGTTTTGTCGTTCATCAAAATTGTTTCAGAAATGTTCAAAGGCAGTTGTTGTTTCGATATTAATATGGCAGGTAATCATTTTTAGCAAATTACAATTGGTTCCGGACGCAGCTCTCTCTCTCTTTCTCTTTCTCTTTCTCTTTCTCTTTCTCTCTCTTTCGTTATTAGCACGGAAAGAGAAAATTTTGATTAAATCGACGTACGGATTTCGCATCTACTCGAAAAATGAATGACACGTTTACGTTTTCTCTAGAAAATACCTAACAATACTTTTAATTCTCAAATACATTTATATAAATTCCTTTTTTTTTCTTTTTTTTTTTTGTAATTTTTTGTTGGTATTTTTTTTTTGGTTTCTTTTTCTTTTTTTTAATTAGTCTCCCTTCCAATCCTACTGTGCTAAACCTGTAAATCATAGGCCTAAAAAGATTTTGTTCTTATCTTTGAAAAGAGAACAAAGGGAGACACGTTCAAGTTTTGAGAATATTTTCTTCATCATTATTATCTGTTCATTCGAAAAAGGACACGTCTCAAGGATGATTATAATCTTATTCTTGTTTAATCGTCAAAATTCAGAATAGTTACTATCCTAGGAAAACATTTGACATCCTTCCAAATATCTTCGAGTTACTACAAAATGTTGTGTTAGAAGACATTGATTTTTTTGCTTTCATTATCCAATTATTCATTTTGGAAAGAAGAATAAATTCATGGCTGCTGTGCAGCATGTATCATGGCAACTTTGAGATCTTTGGCCAAGTGAGAAACGTCAACTACGCTATCGACCATCTCTTGAACAGCAGTCACGCTAGGAAAGAATTGTGCCGCCTGTTTCGTTTTTGATACGGTTTGTGCTAGAGCTTCGTTCAAAGCATTCGCACATTGAAGTACTCGCGTTCTAACGTCGTTTCTTGTAACATTCCTGTGTACTGTGTCACCTATGTGAACGAGCCGATGAGCACTAAGGACGACGAATTTGCCATGAGCCAGAAATACCTGTACAATAATTCAACAATATAAAATAATGAAGAGAATTCTTTTAGTTATCTAAACAGGAAATGATTTTCTTCCAAACAATTCACCTTGGGTGGTTGATTATGTTCAACCGTTTGCAAGAAGGCGTCAATGGCGTGAGTGAGGTGTGCACCGTGCGTGATCACCTGAGCAGCGTAGAATGCCAACAATTGTTTGTCGTTGGGATCCATGGGCGTCGGTGTCGTGGGTGGCATTTGAATGGCCGCATTGTCCGCCTCGGATACGAGTAAATCGTAACTGCTACGAAGTTCTTGCGGTAAAGATGCCCTCAATTCTTCCCGTTGTTTTGCCACGACCTCTCTCGAATCGAGATTAACGTAATCGTAGTCTTCCCCAGCACCGCTGTTGTTGCTGCTGCCCGTTGAGATGATAGAGGATCGTTTGAACAATAACGTGGAGTTTCCCTACAATGAGAGATAATCTTATTATCTCTTCTATCAAAATGATTTATGATACTTATTATTGAAAACGTGAATAGAAAGAACAATTAGGTAGGTTGGAGAGTTCATTTGTGTTATCGTAGTTGGAAGATGCTCACCTGAATGAAACTGGCAACCTGACGAACGTCTTCCGTGAGTGCTCGTGCGCACGCGATCAGCTGATCGAGTGGATCCGGTTGAACCGTTGGCAAAAGAGAAGGTGGTGGTGGCCCATTCGTAGGTGTCGGCGTGTCACCACCACCGCGACAGAGTTTACCCGCGTCCCATTCCATCGTATCCAATTCGGTGGCGGCTTCCTGCACGAGTTTGTCGGAGTCACGAAGTGCCTTAACCAGTGGTCGTAATTTCGTTGCTAGCCCCTTGTCAGGCGCTTTTGCCGCGTTACCGAGGGTACCTAAATGTGTAATGCAGAACGTATATTTATTTTCTTCCACTAGTTTCAAGTAAATTACCTTCGGCAAATTCAGCGAGATCATGTAAAGATGTTCTCAATCTCAAAGCTGCTAGCCTCAAATCCATCAATGTGGCATCCAATCGTTGAGGCGTTCTCCAACCTGGACTAACAAAACCCAATAACCTTGCTATCGCTGAGGAAGCTTCGCTTTGCAACCTCTGAAGACCTTCCAATGCTGCGTCTAATTCCAATGGAAGTTCCTTGTTCATCGGTACGTCGTAAATTTGCTGCGTTTGCATCGGAGGTGGCGGTGGCGTTGGCGTTTTAGGGATCGGTGTGTTGTGCCGCGATGGTAACGACGATGCTGGAAGACGTGGCCGTGGCACGTCATAGTCTGGAGCGGCGAGACTCGACCTGACAGATAATCAAATGTGTATTTGACTAAATATAGGGTTTAATTATTAAATCTATGAATTTGTACCTATTGGATCCACTGAGCGATCCATCGTTGGTTAAACTGGATGCCGAACTACTCGGTGTTAATGGTTGCAATGGTCTTGGTACGTCGTAACAATCTAAAGGCGTGATGCCAGAGCCACCAGAACAATTAGAATTTGGAGTACAAGATGTCGGTGGCCTTGGAATATCATAGCAAGATGGTGCAGGACTTGGACTACTTGCTGGGGAAGGAATTACAGGAATTGCTCGAGGTGGAACGTCGTAACAATCTGTCACATCGCCACCGTTGTCAACTGAACTTCTGGCGCTTGTCATGTATCGTCCTGCGAATTTGCAAATTCATCCTAGATTGTGGTTATTCGATTTAACATAAAAGAAAATGAGAGATTAGAAAATAGGTAGAGGAGTTAGTTTATCGTGATGAGAGTTATCGTGATGTTCGTGACGTATAGTAAAAGTAAACGAGGTCACTCGGACTGTTGGTCGACGAGAATCTAAACGCGAATTTTTCCCTCCGGCTTTAGTAGGAAGTTATGTTCCCAACTGATAGACGAGGATCGTTTAGAAATGTCTCCATGAAATCTCTCGAAGTAATGTATCGATTTATCGAATTTCGATCGTCTCGTTTATTCTTATTTATCGAACATCTTTACTCGAATCAAATACGATAAATCACCCGGTTTGATATTACATTTCAAACTTACCCGTATTGTGCAAATGTTCGTTGTTCGAATTGAGGGGTGAATCGTGTCTGGATGGTGGTGCAGGACTTCCGCGACTCGCTGGTAAATCGTACAGGTACACGTCGCCACACTTTTGTGGTGTCACGACCTGTGGACAACAAAAAAATACGATCAGAACACTTAATAATAATTGGATGAAAGCATCCCCTATGAAATATAATTTTGTAGAAAACGTCAACTAAGGAATTAACGATTTTGATCTAACCGAGCGCCAATCATCGATGTTCCTCTTTCTACTCAAGGGGGATAGGGTTGGGTAAGTTCAAGGACTCATTTCGAGTGGGTACTCTTATAGTTTAAGGACTTCATTCTAATTGAATTCCATGTAAAATGGTTGCTTCCTTTTTTCTAGCAATCGTTTAATACATGCATATGTATGTGGGTGTATGTATTACATAAATATCATATATATTTTCCGGTGTATGCAGATTTATTCATTTGATGTGGTAAAACACAAGCTCGCGAAGAAAATACAATTTTGTTGAGAGACAAGGGGATGGGATGAGAAAGAATAAGGGTATTTGCAACGAAAGAGAAAGAGAGAGAGAGAGAGAGAGAGAGAGAGAGAGAATAGGTCCCTCGAGAGCACAATCTCTGGCTCATCGTCCGCTGCTTTACAATAATAGAGCCTCTTCAACCCTTGCGTTATGCTTAAGCGTACTACACTTTTGTTCTTCCTACTCTTTCTTCCTCCTTTCAAAAACCACATCAGTTACTCCACCCCTGGGATGGATGTTTCAAATTTTTCACATTCCTAAATGCTTTTACATTTTATCTTTTCTTTTCTGTGGTAATGAAGTTCATGTACATTTTGAAAATAAGATAAGTTGGCCCAATGAAATAGGAATGTTCTAGTATTGGGAAATGGTGGAAGAGGAGGAGGAGAATTCAGGGTTGCCAGTGTCGAATGTAGGTCAAACCTTATCAGCGGTAGGCGGTAGAGTCCACCCTCGAAATAACGTGCTGCCACACCCCTTTTCCGAGGACTCGCGTTTGTCGATTCGGTTCTCAATATTAAACCGCGATTGAGAGCTTGCGGTTAACAATGTTGCCTTTAGCTAAACGATTTTCCATCAATTTTATATCCATCAATTTATTTTCATAGAAAATGAACTAAACTTATGAAAATCACATTTAGGTTTACTTCATTATGAAAAGTGAGAATTCAATTGTCTCCTATTTTCTTACCTGAATGTGTGTAATCAAGTTTTAAAGGAGTACAATTTGGACATTGTTCATTCGAACATACCCAACCCACCCTTATATTGGAAATAAATCCCCCAAAGAGAATTGATCATCTACGTGATCCGTTTTATTCGTGATCCAGGATGTAAACTCGACCATAATCAGATCGAGTCGAGTTCTGAGTCACGATATCGGAGGCTTGTGGAAGGAGAAAGCAAAAGATCGAGTTTGTGATCGACGAGCTATGTATGCGACCTATGTAAACCACTTTTATATACAACTTACACACATATGCGTATATATATGAAAGGTTCGTGCAGATATTACTTATAGGGGGCTATGGGATACACTATAAAGATATATATATATATATATATATATACGAGGTTTACACGAGTGCACACGAATAATTCTAGTTGGGGTAGGACCAATGTGAGTTCTTATTTTTCTTGTCTCTTGGGCGTTGCTGATCATTTATCAAGGTGACTCCCCATGTGCCGTTCACAAAAGTCGACATTTAAGTCATTCGTCTTCTTACCCAATGAAAGATATCACTGCCAATAATATCAACTAATTAACATAACCACAATCATTAGACTTCGTCTGGCCCAAGATAATCTTTCTGTCTTACGAGACTACGTCATTCGCTAGGAAGGTCGAGTTATTTTTCTCTCAAGTTGAATTTGCATAGTGATACATAAATGCATGAGCGATTATGAGTTCAATAGGCAAGGATACATTTTAATGGACTAAGTTAAAACCGTTAAAAGTACTTTCTGTTAAGTATCTACTTCAAGAAGAGTTTCTTTCTCACTCGTTTCAATCGATTAATAATAGCATTTTTATCGAACGATATTAGATCTTGGAATTATTATCTTTCGATAAATTATCGGTTAATAACTTGGGGTTTTATCCCTTTTCAAGCATCAACCTTTTTTTCTTTTTACTCTTCCCTATTACACTACCCTTCTCCATCAACGGATATCGTTATTATCTTCCATACCGTGCAGCCTAGTAATTAACTCGCTAGCTATCCCTAAATTACAACGTTTTTGTTGCCAATGGCGTAGAAACAAAAGTGCCTGACCCACCGTGACTAAATGAAAAGTAGAAAAGGAATTAAAAATAAAAGAGAAAGGGTAGTTTCTGTTTTGTGAATTAAAGTCACATGCGATTCTACTATTACGTTGTTCCTTGTGTTTCGTATGAATCGAATAGTAGGGTATGTAGTACAACCAAGGAGAAAAGGAAGGGCTTGTGGTGGTACAAGTGGAAAAGGGATGGTTTGTGAAATCCAGTGGTGGGGGTAGCACGTCGGTCGATACCAGCGTCGCGACGCTAACTGTGAAAGGCGTATTACCCCACGGATGCGCGTCAGATAGAAAGAGAAAGAGGGTTTCCATGGAAACGCGAAAGGAGCTACTACTCCACCTCTTACGCAGCCAGGACCTTCGGCATGTCTCAGCCAACGATAAGGATTTTTCTTTTCTCGGAAGGCCAACACCAACTGGAAAGGATTCTTGATCCCAAAAATATTCATGGAAGACGAACAATCCATTCACTAATTTCTTATTCTTAATGTCATTAACTTTCAATGAACTTTAGCCTTTGAGTACTTTGATCTTTGACTGCGGAAGATAGTAATTTGTTTTAAAGGATTGAGTTGTCTCTAAGTAACTTCAAGACTAGATAGATAAAGATAGTTTGTAGGTATAATATATAAAAAGAAAAAAAAAGAAGAAGAAGAAATAAGAACTCCCGATGAGAGTCATCGATTAATATTGATGATTTATCTTACTTCCTTTTTCTTTACTCATCCAACCAACCAACCAACTAACCAACCAGCTAGCTAGCTATCCGAGGTCTTATCGATCGCTCACGTTCACACCGAAGTAAACGATTTATATCATCGATCCATTTGCCTGACCAAAGGATTTGCTATTACTACAACTACTACTACTACTATTACTACTACTACTACTACTACTACTGACGAGTGTAGATAATCCCACGCGAACGAGTTTCGCAGTTCATTGATACCAAGCCGTTAAAGAGACTCTACTCTCGGCCCACGCCCAGAGACTCGGCTGGTCGGCGTCTCGTTCAAGCCCTTTTTTTTCTTCTCTCATCTTTTTTCTTTCTTTCTCTCTTTCTCTTTCTCGTTTCTCTTGGCCTCGGACTCGCAGCTTCTTCATCTTGCCACGAACGCCATGACACGTTCTGTTCTTCCTTTTTCCATGCCATTTTCAGCCGGTGGAGAGAGAGTGGCAGTTCGCCTGACGCCGACAGTGACGGTTTTAAGAATCCTTCGCCCCGAGCTCCAACACAAATAATATATATGTATATTACATACATACATACACTTACACAAACGTACGCTTTTATTTAGCGACAGCAGTGGAAGAGAAGGAGGATAATATCGGTCACGTTGAAGAAGATTTTTGCGATTTCATACTGTCAGCCAGTGTCGTACTTTGCGATATCTCCCGTCGACGTTCAACCCCCCTTTCCCCTTTCCCTGTCAGAGTTTTGAACGCAAACTTGCGTTCCTCTCGAATTAATCACGGATATTCCCCTTGGTTAAACCTAGACCGGATGGGATGGATGGATGCATACATGCTCTGGGTATCTTTCTCTTTTTTTTCAAACCACCATTGATAGACGCATCTCGTATTAATTATAAACTTTATGATGCATAGGATTTCATTGATAACATTAGGATTTATATATAGATCGGACAATATAATCATACAATGTTGATAAATTGTTAAGTCAAGTAGCTATCTACAATACGTCAAGTTTGCTGACTTTTAGTGATGCATAGAATTTCATTGATAAAACCAAGATCTATAATTTTTAATTTACAATATATTGATACAATGTTGATAAATTGTTCAGTTAAGTAGCTACCTACAGTACATCGGGTTTCCTAACTTTTAGTAATGCATAGAATTTTATTGATAAAGCTAAGATTAATATATCAATCGTACATTTGAAATTTGCAATACAATTATACAATGTTGATAAATTGTTAAGTTGAGTAGCCACTTAAAATACTTTGCAGTTTCCTTACTTTAAGTGATGCATAGAATTTCCTGAATAAAACCAAGATCTATAATTTTAAAATTACAATACAATTATACAATGTTGATAATTTGTTCAATTAAGTAGCCACCTACAATATTTTACACTTTCCTTACTTTTAGTGGTGCATAGAACTTCATTAATAAAACCAAGATCTATAATTTCAAAGCTACAATATAATTATACAATGTTGATAAATTGTTAAGTCAAGTAACCACCTAAAATACTTTGCAGTTTCCTAACTTTTAGTGATGCATAGAATTTTATTAATAAAGCTAAGATTAATATATCAATCTTACGTTTGAAACTTATAATACAATTATACAATGTTGATAAATTGTTAAGTCAAGTAACCACCTAAAATACTTTGCAGTTTCCTAACTTTTAGTGATGTATAGAATTTCATTGATAAAACCAAAATCTATAATCTCAAAGTTACAATATAATTATACAATGTTGATAAATTGTTAAGTTAAGTAGCTATCTAAAATACGTCGAGTTTCCTAACTTATATAATGATGCATAGAATTTTATTGATGAAACCAAGATCTATCATGTCAAAGGTACAATATAATTATACAATGTTGATAAATTGTTAAGTCAAGTAACCACTTAAAATACTTTGCAGTTTCCTAACTTTTAGTGATGTATAGAATTTCATTGATAAAGTTAAGATTTATATATCAATCGTACAATACAATTATACAATGTTGATAAATTGTTGAGTCAAGTAGCTACCTACAATAATGTCGAGTTTCTCGACTAAAAGTAAGGAAAAACAAGAATACCGTTATTGCATATATATGCAAAATAATGCATGGTTATATATATATATGCAGATATACTACTCAATATCGGAATAAGTTAGTATTTTCATTTTCTTTTTCCAGGTTATCGACGTTTCAAGTAGTCTTGGTAGTTTGACAACGTATCTCTACATACATAAATACATACATAAATACATACATAAATACATATATAATGTAATATATAGCACGCATATCGCTAACTCGTGCAGGTCCAAGGTAGAAAATCAGCTTACGTTACTGCTTTTGCTACTGACCGAGGGAAGCTACCGTGGTACGACGATCTGGTTATTCTATTTAACATCGTCGGAGCATGAAGCTACTTTCGCCTACGTCGAGAATGCTCCTGTGTTTTCTCTTCTTTCCTCTTCCTCCTCCACCTCCTCTTTCTTCACCATCTTCTATAGGGTGATTCGTTTACACGCTTAACTAACATACATCTTTCTATTGAATTTTATCGAGGGTGACGTCATTAACACTAGATTTGATTCCTCATTTCTAATTTGTTTGCAAAATGAAGTTCTTCATTCAAACAATGTTTGTAAGTTTGTTCTAAAAATTGTTAACAAAACATGCGTACATCTAATGTTAAGATGAGTTAGACTTTTATTTGGTGGATGACAAAATTCTTAGGGTTGCGTCAAAACCACCGTTGCGTCAGGTTAGGGATGACGTGTCAGTACTACTGAGGAATTTTCTAAGAAAATTTCTAACCTTTCTATCATGGTTACATTATAGTCTTTAATTTAATACCCTCGTCACAGTAGGATGGAAGATTCGCAGAAGTTACAGAGGACAATGGTAAGAGTAAGAGAGGAAAACGTGGATATGCACAAACGATGAAACACGACCGCCCTTTTCTTTGAGTTGAACCGTCCCGCACATTCCATCGTGATGACTCCTTGGACCACGTACGACTGTGGAACGTGTGCGGGTGTTTCTCCGTTCCTGATCTCTCTCTCTCTCTCTCTCTCTCTGACGCCGTGTTGGAAAAAGAAAAAAAAAGACCGACCATCCAACCTGGGTGTATCTGTGTGTGTTTGTAAGTGTATAAGAAAGAGAGTTGGACATTGTCTGGACCCACGCGACATATAAGGGCACCGGTGATCTTTATACTTGGAACAGGACAAGAAGGACTCCTTCTAGGGTAGTAGTAACCTAAGGAATCGACTTCTCGTAAATCGTCAAACGATTTACTTCTTCAACGACAGAAAATCTTCCAAGAAACTTTGATTTTACTTGGTCACGAGTATTTGTATCAAGTTTATCTCATTTAAAAAAAAAAACATCTGTTAATTTGTTTCACGACACCTGTGATTCAATGTCACAAGGTTTGTCTGTTTTATAACTCTGACGATGAATAATAAAATGTAAAATGAAAAATTGATCATTTTATGGAATGATCTTCTAAGAAACTTTGATTTTACCTGGTCACAAGTATTTGTATCAAGTTTATCTCATTTTAAAAAAAACATCTGTTAATTTGTTTCACGACACCTGTGATTCAATGTCACAAGGTTTGTCTGTTTTATAACTCTGACGATGAATAATAAAATGTAAAATGAAAAATTGAGCATTCTATGGGATGATAAATATCCTGAGTTGGATTTTAAACTTTGCTATTAACATATATATATAGTATTTAGTATGTGTATAGGAATTTGATTGTCCTGACACAGAGTAAGTTTGAAAATGACGAAGATGAAATTAGTTTGCTCGTAACGTTGACCTTTCATCGAAGAAAAAGGGGGGAATGTAGACTGTTAAACGTGTTTTCTCTTCCTCCACCGGTCGTATTCCCGTCATCGACGAGAAAAGAGAAAAAAAGAAAGAGAGAGAGAGAGAGAGAGAGAGAGAGAGAGATGGAACGCATCCGAGCAAAAAACAGGACGGACTCGTCATTGAAACAAGAAGAGCTTGAGAAAATGTCGAGTGCAAGAAACTGAGAAGCTTCCTCCTCCTTCCTTCTCCTCTTCCTCCTCTTCTTCTTCTTGTTTTTGTTCTTGTTTCACCTCCTACCAATCGTACCAAAAATACGCACCAACTCATGCGACTACACCTAATAAGAATAAAAGGTAAAGACCGAGTTACAATCTTCACCCAAAAGAGCAACTTTCACGAGAAGATTGTTTCTTCTTACTTAGCAATGCGAATTTTTATTGGTATTACGTAATTCGTAACTTTTTCATCTTGATTTATTCCAAAGAAGTAGAAGAAGAAGATTTCTATGTTACTTTATTGCAAGGATGAAATGAAAAATTACAATACTTGGTCGTTGTATTGGATTGTTCGGAAAGTTCGTGCCGATTTTCGATAGATGGCATTAAAATTGTTTTGCTAAAAAACCTGAAAAGTTCTTCTACTAAAAAACCTGAAAAGTTGTTTTGCTAAAAAACCTGAAAAGTTCCGGATGTACCAAATTTTTGAAGTTATTATATTATTATATTTATTATTTATTATTATATATTATTATATTATTTTTATAATTATATAAATATATATATTAATAAAATATAAATAATTATAAATTAATTATATAAATAACAATTAATAAATAATACCAGGTATAAATAATATGGTACATAAATAATTATATAAATATATATTGGGATCTCTAGCACTTGAATACGCGCTATCTGGTGGTTAAATTCAAAATTAGAGTAGATAGGTCGAACTACTACACCACGCCCCTTCCCGAGATCCCAATATATATATATAATTATAAAAATAATACAATAATATATAACAAATAAAAAAAACTGAAATATGTTGCATCTTCCATCTTCCGTCAAAATTGGCACGAACTTTCAGAACAACCCAATAAAACGGGACGTTCTTTAATGAATATGATGATGATGGTAGTTGTGATGGTACTTTGAGACCGTCCTTAATCTCAGTTGATAGTTCTTCTTAATTAATTTTCTACCCTAAGGTGTAAAAGTGTGTGTGTGTGTGTGTGTGTGTGAGGTCTTTACGATTAGAATAAAACTATTTTGCAATATTTGTATAAACTTTGTTTAGTTTGACCCCAAATGAATGTCAACACACACACATAGTTATTACACACGAATAGACATAATTCACCACTCGACTTTTGATAATCTTTAATTGCCATGGATGTTAATTAACATTCGCTTTGTGAGTTTACCGAGTTAATTATTTCGAGTGTAATTTACTCGAGGGTGGTTAGAAAGAGTGGGGTGGAACGATAATCGATATAACTGGGTGGATGGAATATTCGCTTTCGTTAGAAATTGATGTTCATTGCAGCTGTCGAACGATGCCAAAAGCAAACTGTAATAAGAGAGAGAGAGAGAGAAAGAACTAAAGTCAGCTGATTTTGACAGCTCCCCTTTTCGTTCATGGTTTGCTTAGGTTCGTTGGCCGAGCATGGGGGAGTTACAATGAAAAAGGGACTTTTCTACGCGACTAGAACAATAGACGTATAAACCCATAGGTAGCCATTGTCAAATCGAGCCCCGTTCAAATAGAAAATGAATTAATTTAGGATGGCCAGATGTCGTCATTGCCACATTGAGCGTGTGTTTGTGTGTGGTTTCATTAAAAAAACCAATGATGTTTCGTTTACCATCGAAAGAGAACAAGTACATGTATGTATGTATGTGTGTGTGTGTGTGTGTCTTTTATCCTATGTGCCGCTTAGAAAAAAAAAAAAGGGAATATTGAAGCATACGCGTAAAAGTACCTATACGGTGATTAAATTTATGACAGTGGATGATAATCTCAGTCTCTTTGAAATTCACGTGGTTCTTTCAAAAGTTAATCAGAACGTGATTCAACACCCTGCTTCTAGGATTTTCTCTCTCTCCCAAAAAAAAATAAAATAAAATAGTGTTATATTTAAAGTAAAAAAAAAAAAGGAATGTGTGGATATATAAAACTTACCCTATTTGGTTGTACGTGCCAGCTACGGCGTTTTCCGTGCCTCTGTAGACCGTCTTCGGAAATATTCAAATCAGCTCTGCTACCTAGCAAACAACCTCCAGTATCATATTGCCCAGCCAAAATTCTTAATCGATTTCCTGGACAAATTCCCTATGACAAATAAATATCACAGACATTAGAATTTATTTTTAATATAATATATTATATATTCTATTTAATATAATACAATGTATTATATTAATTGTATTAATATAATATGTAAATTGTCAAATGTATTAATACAATGTATTGTATTAATATAATACAATGTGTTGTTATATTAAATACAATTTGTTGTTATATTAAATACAATTATTTAAAATAAATCAATTTTGTTCTATAATTATATTATTAAATATTTTTAATTATAATTTTATATTAAATTAAATTTATATTAACAAAAAAAATTAAATTTCTATTAAAATTTAAATTATAATATATTATAATTAAATATATTTAAATATATAATACATTTAAATTAAATATATTTAAATATAATACATTGTAATATGATTATAGTTACAAATACAAGTATTCGAAATAAAATAATTTTGTTACATAATTTTTTTAAAAATAAATATGAAATATTATATAATAATATTATTACCAACAAAATAAAAAAAATTATTTTATTTAAAACCCTTATCCTATATATTATATTTAATATAATATCAATATTACATTGTATTATATTAATATACAATTATATTTGAAATAAAATAATTTCTATAATTATATTATTAAATATTTTTAATTATAATTTTATATTAAATTAAATTTATATTAACAAAAAAAAATTAAATTTCTATTACAATTTAAATTATAATATATTATAATTAAATATATTTAAATATAATACATTACAATGTATTATATTAAATACAATTATTTAAAATAAACTAATTTTGTTACATTATTATATTATTAAATATTTTAAATTATAATTTTATATTAAATTAAATTTATAATAATAAAAAATTAAATTTATATTATAATTAAATATATTTAAATATATATAATACATTAAAATGTGTATTATATTAAAATACAATTATTTGAAATAAAATAATTCGGTTATATAATTATATTATGAAATATTTTAAATTCTAATTTTTTATTTATATAACTAATATTATATAAAAAATATTAGATTTATAAATTAAATATGTAATATATTAAAAAAAAAAGAAAAATTACAAATTATTAAATATTATTAACAAATAACCAAACAAAATTATTTTATTTAAAACCCTCTTATCCTTTATCATTACATTATTATTAATTTTATAAAAATAAGAACCGATTTTATATCTTAATTCAAATCTAAATAAATTTAATTAAACTACTTTTAAAATAAATGACTCAAATATTATAAAAAAATTTTTACTATTATAATTTTGAAAGATAATTTTAGTTAGAGACACAATGGTATTTCAGCAACAATTCACGAGAGGTTGAAACATTTCAAAGTGAGGGGAATATTCCTGAAATGCGTTCTCCTGTTGAAAATCTCCCTCTCTCTCCCTCTCTCTCTCTCCTTTGCATTTCTCTTCTCTTCTTCTAATAGCTGACGAGAAGATTCGAGAAACAAGAAACGCACCCCAATTAGACGTTCCTGTATTCACGAAACTCTCCTAATTCCACGAAATCGAAACGAAAATAAACGGAAGACCCTAACTCGCCTTTACGTTGTCGCCATTTTTTCAAACACAATTCTCTTCGTAATTTCTCTCTAAAGGGACACTACTTTTAAATGAGCCGTTTATTTTGAAAGTGGCCTAACTCCATTTTCCAAAAAAAATCGAGTTAGTTACCGTAATAGTTACATTTTTACATGATCTTTTCATTCTGAAGCAATTTGTTATAAATATAATTAAAATCATGAAGATTTTGTTGCAAGAAAATTTGACGATTAACGGAATGATGAAAAATTTATTTTCAAAGTTGCCTAACTCCATTTGTCAAGTATTATTTTCCGATTTCACGTGGTTATTGTACAACTTCATGTTATGTATCAATAAAGCATTTGAGGTTGCTTACATTCCAAGTAAATATAATGAGACAACAAGATTTTGTATGAACAAAATTATTAGAAGACGCAATTTTGAAAAGGGTAAAGAATTCTGATGAAGAATCAATAAACTGGTTAAAAATATGTTGGATGCGTTTTGTTAAAAATGAACCATATACAATTTTCTATAAGACATCAATGAATGAGAATGAAAATTTGAAAGTCCTGAATTTATTACCACGTCAGAGTAGACCAAGAAAGTTCGAAAATATTGTATAGACACGACTACATTTTTATCAGACTGATTTTTTTATCACTGATATTTTTATCAGACAATTAGAACAGTAAAATTCAAGGACATAATTATTGACCTATTACCATATATACCACCGGAACATCATGATTTCTTCAAATCCCTTTCACACACAAAATATAGATGAGTAGTAAATTGTTTTGTAGGTTATGCTTGTAATTTTGTACGTTATGTAGTTAAAAAATGTTTGGAATCGCATAAATTATGTTTCTGAAGTGTTTTAAAGATATGTAAAATAAATTGAGTATTGTTTTTTTTTCAATTTGAAGCATCTTAAATTAGGTTGAATGAAGTTAAGTCCCTTTGAAATTGTATAACAAATCAAATTGTTGATTTTGACTGTGGCCTAACTCCATTCGTGATTAGAAAACGCATATTATCCACTTAATAATTGTTATTATTTTAACAGAAATTATAAATTGAACTCATTTAGATACACTCAAGCAATATGACTGATTAGTATCTTGTACGTATATTTTTAATCGCATTGATATGCAAACTCTTCAATATCTCGATTCGAACGTAAATAGAGTTAGGCAACTTTCAAAATAAACGGCTCAAATATCTATGTGTATGTGATACAAAAAAGGGATTTTATCAACCCTCTTTCTTTCTTTATTATTTTACTCACAATTGTAGAATTCCAAATTGAAATAAATAAATTTTCAAGTAAATTGAATGAAATTAATTACAATTTTAATTTGTAAAACTTGTCATGAATACAACAAAATATTTAAAAAAAAAAAAAAAAAAAACAATTGTACAAAGTTCAAATTAATTTGTCCGATTGTGAGATATAACTTTACAGGTTTATCGGATACACCTGTCATCTTTGTGGAAAGAACGAAATCGATTCGATTGTTAAACCACGTTCACAATGAGTATTCTTCAGATTTGTAATATACAGAAACTCAAAACACTGTTATTGACAACACGAGAAAATTGAATGCTTGAAATGCAATTATATTTAACGAAACCATTTAATACGAGTAGTAAACGTTTAATACAAACATAAAAATATAATCGAAATTTGAATAATACATTTGGTGATTATTGCAACGTTGTTTAAAACGATCATTAATAATGTCAACGTCAAACTATTAATGAATTCAATCGAATTGCTTACGATTTCGAAAATTTATGATGCAATTTACTTTCCTACCATAGTTTTATCCTGCAATATCTAAGATTAAATCGTGATAAAAGGGGTGGGGAGGATGCTTAGTTGAGATCATCGAAAATAGCAAGACTCAAAGCTGACTAGGCAGAAAACAAGGAAACCAAAATTCTAAGAGTTCATGTTAATTCATTTAAAAACATTTTTCATTCTAACTAAAGCTGTTCTTACCAAGCATTCAAATCATTTTCTTTTATAAGTTTGATGCATCTCTCTCGTTTATTTTTATTAACGCTAACAACCAATTGAAACTTTCAATTTATGCTTATGCATACACGCGTAGATGTATGTGTATTCAATAATTCGTAATCATCAGAAATAAATTATTCATCAATACAATTCAGAAACAAATATTTAAACACAAATTTGGCAGATGATAATGATGATGATGATGATTTATTGTACTTGTTACGAATTATTCAAGAAATATTATATTGAGTTGTTCGGAAAGTTCGTGCTGATTTTCGATAGATGGCATTATAAAGTTCTTTTGCTAAGAAACCTGAAAAGTTCTGGAAGCACGAAATTTTAAGGTTATTATATTATTATATTTATTATTATATGGCCTGCTTATATTTTGAAAGTGACCCATCTCCATTTATGTTCGAATCGAGATATTGAAGGGTTTTTGCGTTTCATTGCAATTCAATTCAATTTTTCCATTCAGAAAGTGTTCTGATGCAAATGGTCGTCGCCATATTGAACCTTTTTTGTAAATAGACATAAAAATTAAAATGTCTCTCATAAGGTATATATATATATTTATTATTATATAATAAATATTATATTATAATATTAATATATATAATATAAATAAATATTATAAATATTGTAATAAATATAAATTTAAAATATAAATATTATATATATTATAATATTAATATATATAT